CTTGCTGGCTTGCTGGCTTGCTTGCTGGTTTGCTTGCTTGCGTGCTTGCTTGCTAGCTTGCTTGCTTGCTACATAGGTCATATCGATATACTGTACTGCACAGATGTAAGGATATACAACACATAAATATATATATATATATACAGAGAAGGAGAGAGAGAGAGATGATATGCTTACATATATACATACCTACATACAGGCATACATGTACATGTACCTATATGCGTCTTTTAATACACACACATAGATAGATAGATAGATAGATAGATAGATAGATAGATAGATAGATAGACAGACAGATAGATAGATAGATAGATAAACAGATAGATACAGAGATAGAGATAGATAGATAAACAGATAGATATAGAGATAGAGATAGAGACAGACATAGCGATAGAGATAGAGATAGGATCGAGATAGAGACAGAGATAAGGATAAATAGATAAATAGATATATAGGTAGATATAGAGAGATACGTATAGATAGATGGATAGATATAGATATAGACAGATAGATGTAGATAGATACAGATAGATACAGATAGATATACATAGATATAAATAGATATAAATAAATAGATATAGATAGACACGTAGATAGATAGGTAGATAGAGATAGATAGATATTTAGATAGGTAGATAGATAGATAGATAGATAGAGATAGATAGATAGATAGATAGGTAGATAGATAGGTAGATAGATAGATAGGTAGATAGATATATAGACAGACAGGCAGATAGATAGATAGGTAGATAGATAGATAAATAGATAGAAAGCGATAGATAGAGATAGGTAGATAGAGGCAAATAGAGATAGATGGACAGAATAGAAAGCGAGAGATTTATGTACGTGGCCTTACTGATACTGATAACAGCGGTATGTATGATGGGCGGCGCTGCAACCTTAAGCCGTAAGCCTATCCGTATCCGATTCCAACAGTTTTGCTGTAGTTCCTCCGGCCAAGGTGGAACCCGAAGTCCTAAACCCGGCAGGACACGTCGGACGCACAATGGCTAGCAATAGAAGCCTGAACAAGTACTGTAGACCGGGATGTTTGGGTGTTCTGCACCATAAGGAGTTGCGTTGCTCATTACTCAGTACCCGCATTCATCCCAGACGCTTCGACGCCCTAAACCCTAAACCCTGAACCCTAAACCGCAAAACGAGGCCGGCCTCCTGCTCCTTGTATTTCAGGGGCCAACTTATTGAGCCCGGGCGGCAGCCTTCGGACGGCTGGGGGTGGGCCGGGACTCGAACTTGAAGCCTGAATAAGTAGGACTGTGTTGAAAGGATCCTCAACGACTCGGGTGTTCCCAAGGATGTCCGACTTGGGTGTCTGCAGCTTCTAAATTTCGATCACTCGAAAAACACTTAAAAACACTATAATGACCCTGCAATAACCCTATCAGATTACCCGGCTGTAACCTGTATAACCCTTCTGAAGCCCCCGAGCCTTCGTCCACCTCAGAGCAGTCTCGGATGCCCTTGCCGCTGTCGACGCAGTGCTTGCAGCTGCCATCCTGCGACCAGATTGCCTCGCCTGGGCGGTGGAGGGGGCCGCAGTGGCGCAAGCAGGCATCAGGGGTCAGGGCTCAGTTCCTGGACCCTGAACCTGGTGGGGTTTAAACGTTGCGTCCTATGTAGACCCTTAAAACCTTCAGGGTTTAGAGTTCAGGGTTTAGGGATTGCGGTGAAACTGCCAAGCTGCCGTTGATGCACAGACAGCATCGAGGGCGCCCGGTCTTCCTGGCTTGGGTACCTGAGCCGGAAACTAAAGGCCCCTATTTATATAAGTGCTGTATAATCACTGTGTAGACCTAATAAGGGCAGACTGTATACTGGAGCGTCGCAAATGGAGCCCCTCAAACGGGGGCTTGCGGGCGTTTGCTTCTCAAGAACGGCTGCTGAGCACGGGGGGCATGGAGGCTCTTCATTCGGGGACTGGAGCTGCTACAGCCTTGCCCCAACCTGACATCCTGGGTCCTCAACGAGCCCACAACTTAACACACAACTTAACAACACGAAGCACGGATTCACAACTGGATGAGACTAAAAAGAATCACAAAGCGATAGCAATCGCAATAGCAATGGCATTGGCACTGGCAATAGCAATCAAACCACAACAGTGGAAGTATTGTGAACACTCCAATTGCTTCAGTAGCTCTCCTAAGGCTGCGGCACTCCGGATTGACCTTATCGGGGTCGGGAGCCTGCGGCCAACTTAGATCTGTGCTACTGTTGTGGTTGTTGCTATCATGTTCGCCGCTCATGCTGCTAATACGAGGTACGTCTTAATGACATGGACTGTACAAGAGGTGTTGTGAGTGTTTGAACTCTTGCTGTGACGCCGGGTTACTGACAGCTGCCCGGGCTTGCGCAAAGGTGCCTCCCCCAATTCATTCCGTGACCTCACAACCCCAATCAAACAAAATGACCTGAAACCGAAAAGAACCCGAAACCCAAAGCTCCTAAAGCCAAAACCCCTGAGCTTGGGTTCGTTGGCTCCATCGGACCGGGTCCTGCTTCGCAGCGGCCTCCTCTTCGAGCTCTTCCTCTTCAGCCTCGGCACACTGCTTCCGCATCTCCAAACATCCCCAAACACATGAGAAGCCCTGAATCTCCAGCTTCCCAAACGACGAGCCTCTTTGTCTTTCTCCTGCACGACCGCCGCCAGTGATTTGTCCTTGAATGATGCCCCACGCACGTGGGCGCCGGCACCTGAACGAAACTCGAGAAAACCCGAAACCCCGAACCCTGTCTAAATCTTGGGCTTTCTAGGTTCTAGGTTTCCTGACCCTCAGCCCTACTTCCGGTGCAGGGTTCAGCGTGAGAGTTGTGAGGCAGCAACATCCATTTGCGAGGCTGAAAGCAAGCAGCCGACCTGGTCGGTGTGCATGGCCTTCTTCTCCCTGCATGTGGTCTCGGGTTTGGGTTTCAGATGTTTCACGGGGAGGATGAACACTTTAGATCTTAACGTCCGATACGCCTGTTGACCAGAATCGTAGCCACTCCCGCAGATGGCAAGAATCAAACGCTTTGCCGGCTTGGCTTATGCAACTATATCACTATATCTATTGGTTCACCTAGCTGTTTATCTGCCTGTCTATCTACTTATATTTATGTATATATATATATATGTACATACGTACGTACGTACGTACGCACCTACCTACCGACCTACCTACATACATACATATATATATATATGCATATATAACACACATATATATATATATGGGACCCCCCCTCAGTTATCCACCGTTTCGGTGTTGTTTAAGCCTATTCAAGAGGGGCGGGGGCTAGGATACTGCAGGGTCTAGGAGCAGTACCTTTGTTGTTGCTGTTGTATTCGTGCTGTCACAGGTTCTATCACTTTCTATCATTACAAGACTACGTACTCTGCTGTGTATGCGCATGTCCAAACTGTAAACCCTAGTACGAGTGCAGTACTTACGACAGAGGCTAGAGT